GGAAAAGGAGGACGGCTCTGGTCACTCTGGCCGCGACCAAAGAAAAGCTTGGAAACTCTCCTCTCAAGCCATGCTTCCGAGTCTTGCTCCAAAGGGAGGGAGGGCATTCCCCAAGGAAAGGTCGAAACCCTCTTAGAAAAGTAAGTCCATACTTCCCAGTCAGTTTTTGGAATTCCTCCTGGAAATTTGGAACTGGAGGACAGGTCCTGGAAAAGGAGGAGGAGGAGGAGGAGGAGGAGGCGTCAGCCCCCCCCCCCGGCCATGACCGAATAAAAGCTTAGAAACTCTCCTATGAATCCGATGGTCCTTGTGGTCTCTTCGAGTTCTGCGATTCTATGAAACCCATGCTTCTTAGGGGAGGAGTTCGTCTTGGGCATTCCTCCCGGACAGCAGTTGGAAATGGAGGCCCTGTCCTGGAAAAGGAGGACGTGCCTGGTCACCCTGGCTGTGCCCAAACAAGAGCTTGGAAACTCTCATACGAAGATGAACCCGTCCTTCTTCATCATGCCCCAAAGGGAGGGCATTTGGGAATCCCTCCGGGACGGAAGAAGGTGAACATGGAGGGCAGGTCCTGGGAAAAGGAGGACAGGTCTGGACACCCTGGCCGTGACCAAATAAAAACTGAGAAGCTCTCGTGTGCTGATAAATCGATGCTCCCAAATCATGCTCAGTGGGGAGGACGTCATTGGGATTCCTCCTGGACAGAAGGCTGAAATGGAGGAAGTGTCCTGGAAAAGGAGGAGGACGGGTCCCGAGGAGGAGGAGGAGGAGGAGGCTTTTCCCAAGGAGCAGGGCGTCCTCCAAGGCTTCGCAGGGTCCGTCGGGGCTCCAAGCCCTTCCTTCCAAAATGACTGGCGCCAAAGAATTAGGGTCGCCCTGCGCGCCACCGCCTTCCTCTCCTCTCCTCTCCTCAGACTCCCGCTTCTCCAAGTTGTGTTAGGGTTGTTGTTGGGGGGTACCTACAAGTCCTTCCCGATTTTGGGGGACCCTAAGGAGAGCCGGGACTTCCCCCTCCTGTCCCTTCAAGTCCTCCTGCTGTTGTTCTTGCTGCTGCTGCTGCTGTGGTTGTGGTTGTGATGGTGTCCCTCCAAGCCCTTTCCGACTTAGGAGGACACTCAAAAGAGAACTGATGAGAGTGTCTTCCTCCTGTAGTGGTTGTGTCCCTTGAAGCCCTTTTCGACTTAAAACGACAGTCAAAGGAGAACTGAGACTGTCTTCCTCCTGTAGTGGTTGTGGTTGTGTCCCTTGAAGCCCTTTCCGACTTAAAACGACACTAAAAGGAGAATTGAGACTGTCTTCCTCCTGTAGTTGTTGTGGTTGTGATGGTGTCCCTCCAAGCCCTTTCCGACTTAGGAGAACACTCAAAGGAGAAATGATGAGAGGGTTGTGGTTGTGTCCCTTGAAGCCCCTTTCGACTTAAAACGAGACTCAAAGGAGAACTGAGACTGTCTTCCTCCTGCAGTGGTTGTGGTTGTGATGGTGTCCCTCCAAGCCCTTTCCGACTTAGGAGGACACTCAGAGGAGAACTGAGACTTTCTCCCTCCTTGGTGGTGGTTGTGGTGTCCTTTCTGGTCCTTTCCGACTTCTGGCGACCCTCAAGTGAGCCGGGGCTTCCCCCTCGCGTGGTTGTTGTGGTTGTGGTTGTGTGCCTTCCAGTCTTTTTCAGTTTAGGGTGACCCAAGGCGAACCGGGACTTTCCCCTCCTGCTGGGGTTGTTGGTGGTGTTGAG